TGGTTTTCTGGAGGTGGCGAAAAAAAGCAATCAAAAGGCTCTTCCAGAAGAACTCTTCTAAAGTTTTACTAAATGTTACCAAGATATTCTTATGGGCTCAATATGAGCTCAAACGGCGAATGCCAGTTGAGCTAGTTCCCTTGAAAGCAAAGTCATTTTTTAATTAAAAACAAAAAACCGTGTTACTAAAAATAATGTGTACTACTAGATTTACTTCTTCAAATTTCTTTTTTATTAAAATAAAAGAAGAATAGCAACAACATATACGACAAAAAATGATGGAACTTTCAAGACAAAACGGTTCTCGACAAGTGAAGCAAAAGTTGCCATAACATCAAAACTATCAAATGCTTCCTGCAGGAGGATATGGAGTCCACAAAAGTCAAACAGAGTCAAGAGTTTTCTCTTCATCAAAACTATCAATTTTATTTTTCGAGCTGCAATTTCTTTATGATGCAACAACATTTTGAAGAATAAACAGTAATGTGTATCCTAATTTAGTAAAATTACTCAATTTAAAAAAAATGCAAAATGAAGTAAAATTTTGTTTCTTATCTTCTCTTCTCATTTTGAATTATTACATAGAAAGCTGTTTCTCGAAAAAATAGTCATAGAATTTGCAATCAAGATAAACTCAAAGCATTGCCACCTATAAAAGAAAGCCTCAAACTTGTCGTTTATCAAGATAGAGGTTCTCAAAACTAAGCTTCTACAGCTTGACCTTGCTCCGACTTTAACGACGCTTCAATACAGCTTTAGAAATGGAAACCTCGAAATCGAAACAAAATTTTTTCGAACAGAAAAATGAAAGAACTCTCTTAAAGATTTTAGTGCATGTCTGTTTAAATCATCAGTCGAAAGTAAAATGCAATACAAAAAAAAGTTTATAGCAAACTATTGCTCGATTGAAAATACCAGATGAGTTGTCATTAATTGAATAACTTTCGATATGAACAAAATAGAAATCTGCAGTTTTCACTTTTCGAAAGAGCAATGATTGAACTATCGATCTATATAAAATTCATTACGATGAAAGATGCCTTATTTAAGAGTGTTGCTAGATCGACACTTTTTGTTGACATATATGATAATTCCTTAAATGTTTATTTCAAGCGGTTTGATAAAAAAAAAGTATGATCATTTATAGTGAAAATACGATGATTCGAGCTGCGTTTTGATTTAACTTGAATTAAGATTATTGTGAAAATGCGCAAAGAAAAAAGTATCGATTCAAAAATACCGATAAAAAAACATCTTTCGGCGTAATAAAACTTATAGAGATCGATAGTTTGGTCACTGCTCTTTCGAACAGTGAAATAGTTAGGTCTCTATCTTATCCCTATCGAAAGAAATTCAATAAATAACTAGTCACCTATTACTTTCAATCGGGTAATAGTAAACAACTTTATGAAGAACGAACAATGCTTTTATCGGGTATGTATCTTTGCTTTTTTTTCTTTATTTGGTTGTAAAAAGTACTTGCTTTCATTACGATGCTAACCGATGACTTTATGATAAGAATTAAACGCTTGATAAGGCCTTATAAAATAAAGAATGTTATAGTAAAACAAAAAAGAAAAAATTAATATAATAAAATGACGAATTCTACTTGGATAGCTGACGATAAAATTATTCATTTATTGAATAATTTCTTACAGAATGATTATCATGACAATGAACCCGGAGCAGGTATACTTATTCTCGTTGATGATCGTGTTATCTATGAACGTTGTTTTGGTTTATCAAATCTTGATACATACGAAAAAATTACACCTGAAACAAATTTTCGTTTAGCTTCACTTACAAAACAATTTACAGCTTATGGAATTATTTTACTTGAACAAGAAAATAAATTATCTCGAACCGATACAATTGGACAATTTTTTTCTGTTAATTTTCAAAATGAATATCCATTGATAAGTAATAAAATAACAATTCAACATTTACTTGATCATTCATCTGGATTATATGATTATGAAGATAATAATTTCGATATTCATAATCAATGGTCTGATTATGATGTACTTGAATATCTTCATGATAAAACATATTTTGAACCGGGTACAAAATATCGATATAGTAATACTGGTTATATTCTTTTAGGTTTAATTATTGAAAATATTTCAACAAAATCATTAGGAGATTTCTTTTATGAATATATTTTTCAACCATTCAATATGAAGACAAGTATTCTCTATAATTCAAGACAAACATTTATTAAAAATCGAGCGTTAGGTTATAAAAAAAAATTCCATGAACAATCTTATGAACTTTCTGATCAAAGTTCAACAAGTGCAACAAGAGGTGACGGAGGAATTTATATGTCATTGAATGATTATCTTCAATGGTATCACCATTGTCCTTCATTATCATTAATATCGCTATTTCCAATTGATAAAACATCAAAAACTACTTATTATTATCATCTAGGATGGTTTTTAAATGATTCTACTAGTCAAATACGAATACATTCAGGTGATTCCTGTGGTTTTACACATCAAGTATTTCGAATTGATAATGAACAAAGAAAAATACTTGTTCTTTATCTCACAAATATAGGAAATAATAATGAAAAAATTCAAAAATTTAATCATTTTATTATAGAAAATATTCCTCAATTAAATCCAAATAATACAAATCTTCTGTGGGATATGGTGAAACTAACAAGATGATTGATTTTTTTCGGATATTATTTATTTATAAAATGACTCGAAATTATTTAATAAAATTTATTTTCAATTTTTTTGAAAAAAAAAGTCATGCGGCCAGATGAAATCATATACCTACAAATTAAAAAGTACGGGGCTCTTTCCAGTGATTGACTTTGTCTGCCACTAAAATAAACAAAGATGACAATGATCAATCGCAATTGACAAAGACAGGATTTTCAAAAAACTGAATCTCCAGTATATAAGAGAAAGTCATTTCAAAATTTATTCGTATCACATCTACAATAATTCTTTGATATTTTTTAAATTTATTTGATCGATAAGAAATATTTCGAGTAATTCTTTGCCAAAAATATTGATTTTCGAGCTTTGTATATGGTTGAATAGTCTGCAATGTCTACTCTCGAAGTTTTCTGTTCGTTTTTGAAAAGATTTTTCGATCATTTTACATGCTAAAAATCTCAAGTAGATCTTGAATTGAAAAGAAAATTGTAGTGTACAATTTCACACAGCCGGATTTTTCTTTTTTTAACTTATTTCTCAGAAAAACTAAATTTTTTCAGTTCAGCTTTCATCTGAAGTATAGCAACAAAATTTTGAAAAACCAGATTTTGTTAGCATTTACGGAGACGTACTTATTGATCCTAAATATCATAATATATCTGGAACAGATCAATATTTTGGGCTGAAATTTTTACTGAGAGTTATACACATCCACATGTTTCTGCAAAGTTTCAGCGAGATCTTTTGTTCTAGGCCAAAAATAGTTTTCTGAGTGAAGAAAGAATTTTACTATAAACTTGAATTTCGCTCCTGGTCTCAGTACCGAGACCACAATCAAGATTGTGACTGGTCGTGCACATCTCTAATTAGGATATATTTTTCTCTTTATATTATGAGGTAATAGTATGAGAATCATAAATTGATAGATGAAGTACAAAAAACTTCACTTGAAAAATGATAGGCCTAAAGACATCATAGAACTTTACGATTAGCTTTTCAGTAATGTACAAGGTATAATTTAAAAGCATTGTGATAACATTGTTATGCCAAATAGATATCATCATTCAGTTTAGCATGGTGAATTACTCCTGCTTAGCTAATTTTTCGTGTGATCACAGTTAGGAATGTTGACCTTGCGTAGATCGAAAAACCAAAACTTTTTTTCTATCGATTAGTCCTAATAATAAATTGAAAGAGAAAGAATTTCAGAATCTTGTTTTCAAAATTCTTTATCATGGACAGCCTTGATTGGCTAATCACTTATCAATCAAATTTCGATGGTTGCAAGTCTCCTCTCATTCATCGTAAATAACCACAAGTATATTTGATGTTTCCTTCAAAAGTTATTTAAAACAAAACCAGTGGAGCATGTCATATTTTGAAATGAATGCGCATATATAATGTCATTCTGATTGCATAAAACAATAGAATAAACAATTCTCTATAAAATGAGACATCTCCGAGTTTGTCCTAACGTTTTTCAGCTAATGTGGCACAAATTCAGATTGTGCGAGTTTTGAACTTCTGGAACTCTGAAAAGTGTAACTTCACATTGAAATATAGATTATCACGCTTTGAAAATGCGCAAATTATCTACTAAAACACTCTCCCCAAATATTCAAGTATAGGTATGGTTGTATGTGTAGAGACAGCCGAAACTGCCATTTACATACTTCCTAGATTTCAAATGACACAAAAATCTGATTGAAAATTTACGATATTCAGAAAAGTTCATATTTGAGAATCGTCGAATTATTTTTCCATATAGCTTCTTCAACTTGAATAACCTATGCAAATATTAAATTTCTAAATAAATAATTCAAAGAAAACTATTTTCTATTTATCTTTTCTGCTAAAAATATTCTCACCACACTATTTGGAATAAAAAAAAATGTTTTAAAAAATTCTTTGAATAAATATTTGATTAATGGAATTAATTTCATTGAGACGAGAAAATCATCACCACAAGCGATGGTTTGTTGTGGACTTCAAAAAATATTGAAAAATTCTTTTATCACAATTTTCTCTTCCAGAATGGTGATTTAAGTTTTCCAAAGAGAAAATGTGCACACATTATGTAAAATACAATAATCTCGTATTCCAAAAAGATCGATATGGTCTTCAAAGTCACGTCGTTCCTTACGTTGAATAAAATACTCTCATCAGAACTCTACTTTAGAAAAATATAAAATTTTTTTCTTTCTCAAACAAGTCGATTTAATATTTTTCTAAATATAACATAATATTCTCTGCATAGACAATGAAAAAAATCTTTATTTATTTATTTTTTCATTGACATTCTTACTAAAAGAAGGAAAACAATATTGAATATCTCTTGTGTGATACTCTAAGAATAGAAAGCAGCATAGAGCAGTTAACAATGAATCAAATGATAAAATCTATTCTTCTTAGTCACTAAAATTTCCTTTGACCACAAACGATTCGAATAAATTTTTTGTACTTGGAAGAATAATAAATTTCAAGGATATATGTTTCATTCTATATATAAACGAGATGAAGAAAAGCACAGTAAGAATAAATACAAAATCAAACACAAATCATCAGCAAATACACAGTCTTTGTTGAAATATAAAGCAAAACTGAATCTATATAAAGAATGCATACATATATGTATAAATGTATTTTCGATTCCAAATAAAAAGGACCACTAGACACAATCGCTATTTTTGCATAATAATAAAAATATGAATGTCTTTTACTAGTTTGTCGACAACATACAGGTCATGTACCAGTTATTAGTAGCCAATTAGTAATGCATTCCGAATGAAATAAATGAGCATATTCAAGTTTTTTAACTGGTTCATTGGCTAAAACATTTGTTCAACAAATTGCACTAAAATTAAAAAATTATTGATTTTATTTTTCGGATAAAAGTAAGAATTATGTACCATTTCGTTTGATTCAATTGATTAGGTTCTTGACTATATAAAACAACTGGTAATGTATCAATATTTTCTTGTGTTGCCGGCAGATTTGGATTTATTGAAACAGATGAAGTCGCTAGCCAATCCTTTACAATTATCAAAATTAATAAAATAATAATAAAAAATTGTTAGTTTTTATCTTACTCGAAGTAATTCAAGTATTGGAACTGGTATCGATGCTGGTAAACAATAAATTGAAATAAATCCAAAAAATACTCTCAAACAACATAGTATCAAAATTAATGACACAGCAAGTAATGGAAATAATATTCGTATCTATTGCCATACTACAAAATATTCATATATTATTGCATATGGAATTATACAACGTTCAAGGTATTACCGCTAATTAGAATAGTTTTCAGTGCTTGGGAAAAGAAAATCTGAATAAAAGATCCGATAACATGTATCATGAGTAGCAATTTACTGGAGTTCATTAGGCTGGATGTGCAAATTTTAGATCCAACAGCCTCTACACATCTGCGAAGTGTGTAGAATGGCCCAATCGTCATATGAGGAAACAGCCCAGGTTTAACCTACTTTCAGAAAAACAAGTTGTCAGAAGCGATAATTCGAGATGTTTAGAATAAATAGGGTGCGGTATAGGTGGGTGGGGCGTGCTTTTACTCAAAGGCACTGACATCACCACACCCACACTCACACCTTCAAACGATAATCAAAGGTATTTCTTTGACTTAAAACATCAAAACAGGCTCTTAAACAATAAAATGATTTTTTTCCTGTATGCGTAATTATTTCAACTGTAAACTCCTTCTTTTCATTTTCTTAATAACATCTTTGTTAGAAGTTTTTTACAAATTGATTCAACTTAATTTTTATCAATCGATTTTCTTTTAATAAATTCTGAAGAAAATAAATCATTTACCAAGAAAAAGACATTGATCACTTAATTAGATATTACATTGAAAAAAAAATAAAAAGCATGTCAATCTTATGGGAAAAAAGAAAACAATATATTAACATAACACTGATCTTTCAAGGTTATTTCTTGTTCACATAAATTAAAGAAAATTATGGAAGATGCTTTTTTTCTCTGCACATAAAAATGATTCTAAATGAAAAAATTTCTCTTGATTAAATTTTTATTTTAAAGCCTAAAATGATTTACTTTCATAACTTTGAAAAGAGAATCGATGAAATTCTTTTTCTCAATAGATTTTCATCGATAATCTCTTTGCCTATTAAAATCTTACAAGAAACTATTACATTTCATATAATTTTATTAAAGATAATTTGTATTTTAATTATATTCACTTTTTGAAACGGATATTTATTTTAAAAGGTATCTCATAACATGTCCATTTCTAAAATAAGCTCAACGAATTTTCTTATAATAATAATTATTTGTTTATATTTGAATTCCAATTGTAGATAATTTTACAATTAATAAAAATAGAAATTTCTATTAGATGATGAAGAATTATCTATTTACGAAAGAAAAATCTATTAATATATAATGTGAGTTTTATTACAATCATTATTAGTACTTAACCATTTCTTTTCTGAAAGTTTTTCTGAGATAAAATAGATTAGTAGACACGAATCCAATGAATTATAAAAGCATGAATGCATCTTCATCAACAATTGCTTTCATTGAAATTTTTATTTAAAATAATTTACGAAAAAAAGTTGACAAAGTCTTGAAAGATAGTGTTATATTTCAGACATTTTTATTATATAAATCTTTTTTATTTATTTATCTAACATATTCTTGGACTTGTTTAGTTGAACTTTCGAAAAAAATACTTGTCCATTTCCATACGATCATTAAATTGCTAAAAAAGCTCTGAAGATTCAATTTCACAAGTAAGAAAGTGACTTGTCAAATACTTTCAGTTTATATTAGTTTATTCCTTTGTTAGAGCAAAACATATTTAATGAATAACTTCATATGATATGGGCGTATAACACGTGACAATATTCAATCAAATTTTCAGAAAATCATTCTTTATTTTAAGACCTCTGACTTTATTGGTGTTGATTCCGTCGCAGTTTCGTGACATATAGTTTCGATCTCTTCGTCGTTTTCAAAAG